AAAAAAAAAAAACACCTGCACGTGTAAGTGAAAAAAGACACGAGGTATTTGTTTGTTTGTTTTTGTATTTCACTGACGGGCTATGGAATAGCAGAAAAAGGGAAACACAGAAAAACAACCGTTCGCACCGAGAGCTAGTCGACGACTGTAATCTACTTATATGTGAACCTAGTATATGAAAGGTCTTAACATAAAATCCCTTAATTCCATGTCCCCACCGGAGATTAACCACGTAGTTAAGGCTGTTGAGTTGTTTATCCCGATAACCCACTTGATTTAGCGTGGTCGAATTGTCCAAAAAAAAATTCAATATGGCGAAAACAAATCGTGGCCAAGTTTTCGCCTTCAAATTCTTTTCATTATTTCACCCTATGAAAGGTCTAAACATAAAATCCCTTTAACACGGTGCGAGTGGGACAAATAGCGTAGTTGTCAAATTTTCCCACGCTTAAAGGAATTTTCCCACGACGTATACATTTGGTTCACACAATCGCTGTCAAAATCGCAGCTGGCTTCAGCGTCGGCAGAGTTCACACGAACGCTACTCGTTTAGACAACCGACAAAAACTCTTCAATGGGAATATCGTAACGCCATTGCAAAGAATTTATTGCAGCAACAACAACCAGTGTTGCCAAGTTTTGAATTTGAAGGCGCACTAAAACCCAAGAAAATCGCCAAATTTCTATTGTATTATTTAATGGTCTTTGAATTCATTGAATTTGTGTCCAGCGTTGCTGTTGAATTGAATATTTTTTCCTGACTGTTAAATGTTATATTTTTCTTCGTTTTGCTTAATTTTCTTTCCTATCAAACAAAAGCAAAAAGAAAAAATGAAGTTTCATAAACTATGCGGTAGTTTGAATCTACATTGCAGTCTCTTATGATCTTGTAAACTAAAGGAACATAGGGAACTTTTCTTTCCGACCGCTTAACACCTAAAACATGACGAAATTTGATTTCCCGTTTTACTGTGTTTTATTTGAGCGCCTACTGTTCAAATCCCACCCGATTTCGATTATTCTCTTTATTCAAAAGGTTCGTTAGATAATAATTTAACTGTTAGGAGATGCTGTTGCTTTTTTGATTAGTCTTACAAAAATATAACAAATTTAGCACAAACTAAAGGTCTAAAGGTCGATTACTGGTCCCAGCAATGGCGAATTACCGAATGCAATTCTGGCATGATTTAAAGTGCTGCCATATATTATGTTGGTAAACATATGATCTCTCGCTTATGACCATGATGCAATAATAAAAGGTGGTAACAGTTGTGACAGCTCGATTTAATACTGCCTTAGCTCAGTAGAATAAGAAGAAAATACGAAGAACGCGACAGCATGCAAAACTAATTAAGCACACTAACACATTCTCACTTTTGGTTTGTGGTAGTGCCCACGTCTGATTATGATTAGATTCTTTCCCGTACGCAATGCGGGATCCCGCGGGTGACCAAAATAGCACAGAAATCATTCCCCAATTCAATAAATGGGTAACAGAGCACGAAAATTGGAACGTATTATTATTATTTTCCACTTTGTAAAGTTGCTTACGAAACTTATGATTGCTATAAATTGTGATCCCCTATTTTAAGATTTTTCAGATTTGGTTTCTTCAAACCAAAAACGAAAGCACCAAACAACTCAGCGCTAAACTCAAAAATGTTCTTGTTTTGTATAAAGAAAAGCACTAAATTAAGTGCGAAAAAGACCAAGTTGGCAACAGTCTCAAAAACTGACGTCTCTCTTGATAGAGCGTGTGAATTTTGAGCACGTCCTCTGCTGCTATTTCCAGAGAACTTCTAGCCAGGGATGGAAAGTCAGGCTTTCAATAGAACCTATTTTCGGAATAAATGATACCTTAAACGCCGTCTGTATAGTGCAAGTTAATTAACG